TGCCACATATGCTGTGGCTGTTGGAGAGGTTACTGTAACTGCAAAGCCAGAAGAAAGGGCCACAGAACCTTTCCATGGACCACGCATTGAAGGCATGGAAACCACAACATGGAGCAGCCAGTCAGAGCATACCAGTGTGAAGGGATCACTCTTTTCAAGGGATGGGTGCAGGCTAGCCTCATGCAAACGTTGGCTTATAGAATAGGCCTGGAATTTGGAAGAGTCTTCCTATCTAACATGATTATGCATGATTTCTCTCTTGAAGGCACCATCCTGGCAGAAGTGCTTCCGTTAGAAGGCACCACACTCTTATATCCAGGGACAATATGTGCACAATATGTAGCTAAAACAGCCTCACCACCTTTTTGCCTCTGTGATGGAGACTGGGATCAGCAGAGGTCTGTTCTCCTGACCATACCCATTCTTCCAGAGACATACTCATACACAAAATGTGCCACAGAGAATGCAAATAAAAAAAAAAAAGCTTTTAAAAATATCTGGGCTTCTGGAGGACATTTCAGTGCATGCTACCAGAGCACACTGTGACTCTAGCAGTCTTCTCAAGTAGAAACCACATGCAAAAGCCCCCTGCAAATCCCCAGTTCCCATCTAGCCCTGTCAATCCCTACAAATACTGTAACTCCCATCATCTCCTGAGAACAGAGAGACTATGCCAGGGGTGGGGAGGGGGACAAGGAATTCAAAGTCTCTAGTGAAGATTTAAGGCTTGGCTTGAGCTATTTCAGAGCTAATGAGAAGGAAAGAGTTTTCTCTTCACTGATCAACCAATGCAGACACAAAGCACTAATTGGGCAGAAAACAAGCAGCAGCACTAAGAGCTTTTGAAAACACCTGAGCCTATTTTCCAAAAGATTGTGAATCCTGATGGAAGTGTTTACACAGTGAAGAGTCTCCAGTGCAGAAGGAAAGTCTTCAGGTTGGGCATGACTCGATGGGTATCTGAAGGCTGTTGCATCCTCAAGAGATTGCTTAGTCATCCTCATTTGTTTGCATGGTGCAAGTGTACACATTCATCCACGCACTTCTCTTCTGCTTTTAGGACGCAGTAAGATAGGGCATCATTTCAAATAGGAAAATGTCGATCATCCCCATAACATGGTTGGAACACATGTGGCCATGCAGATGTTGCTGGACTCCAATTTTCATCCTAGGCATTTAGACCCCATAACTAGTGGTGAAACTACAGTCCAACAAGATTTTGGGATTTTTTAAAAATACTGTATATATAAACATTTTATTACTTTTCTATTACTACTACATTTGATTTGTGCTTAATAAACATTGTGTTACATGGGTTTTGCTTATAATTATCTGTTATTCCATCCTGGTGCCTTAATCCTTTCTCCATTCTTCTAGCCATTTATAGATCAAATTCCACATTTTAAAGTATTCTGAATCTTCTTTCTTCTTCACTCTCAGTGTACATCTGTCCACTTCTGAACACTCAAAAATCTTCTTGGTCATCTTTTCTTCTGTTGGTACTTCCTGGGATATTGGGATATTTATGTTGTCCCTATAAGACACTTATGCTTTTCTGAACAAGAGTGCAGAAAGGTCATGAGACATGAATGCCATGAAGGGACTCCCTCACTCTGTGCATCCTCATCTAAATAATCACGTCCCACCACATCAATTCAGACTTATAGTGACTTCCAGCCCCTGTAAAAAAGCATCTGGATTGGGATCCCCTGGGATGGATACTGCAAGCAATTGTTTGCAGTGAGTGCCATCAGTTTCTTTCCTCTTTTCTTTGTCTCCTCTCTTGGCTCAGCAGCTGAGCTATATCAGTTTCCCTTGGAAAGAGCAGGTGCTTCACGGTCCCCTTGGCTATACACAATAGCAGTGGATGGAAATCTAATGGAATCCATGTGAACCAAGAGCACATCAAGCAGAAATGAAACAGCCTTTGGTGCAAGCAATGCATGGAGCATCGTTCTGTGACTGAGCATGTCCTCCCCCCAAAAAAAAGAAAAAAAGAAAAAAAAGAAACAAAAGTCAGAGGGAGTGACTGAGACAAGAACACAGTGCCCTCAAATATGGTATAATGACACCAGTGAGCACGGACTCAAAGGTAAAATATCACCTCCTCGAGTGTGACACGCAGGACAGGTATTTTCAATAAGATGTTACAGAAGACTGCCGTGCTCCATCTTAATTATGATGGCAATTGCACTTTTAAATGGCCAGAGACCATGACTCGGAAAACTGCCCAGACAAAAAACCCTTCTTTGTACTGTGCAGGTGAAGGCATGGGAATGGGGCTTTCAAGGGTAAAAGGAGAGCGATACTAACTCTGAAAGAGGATCAAGCAGCAGAATACGCCAAAAGGCAAGTGGCCCGTCACAAAAGCAATGCAGGTAACAGCACCAGCATAAAAAAAAGGGAGCAGGTGCTTGTGATGCAGTGCAGCTCCCAGTCTAGCATTACTGGGTTTTCAGGGCTCAGAAAAATGGATCTCAAGTGGGCTAGCCAGCCTGCAAGTCTTAGATTAGCCATCCCTCTCCCATCACCCTGCAAATGTTTTGGATAACAAACACCATTAACCTTGAACCAACATCACAAAGGAAGATGGGAGCCACAGTCCAACACACATGGATAGCATCCCTTTGGGGGAAGCTGCTGCTACAGAGTTGTTGCTCTGAAATACACTTGCCTGCTTCAGACACTCTGTTACTCAAAAAAGCAGGGGTTAGACCAGAAGGATCTCTTTTAATGCCAAAGATGAGAAGTCACCCAATTTGAAATAATGATAATAATAAAATCTGACTTACCTTTCTGCATTTGAAAATTCACCCCAGGGACAGATCAGAACATATGGGATGTTTTATATGAAGGCTGAGCAGCAATTATCTAACCTCAGGTGCTGCACACAATTTCAGCCCTCCTTAGCCTGTTCTTGACTGTGGCTTGAGGTTTCAGTTTTAAGTATTCCCTTCTGCAGCCTTCCATCGTCTCATATTTTAAAAATCAAAGTGATAACATTTTCACACTCTAATACAAAGCTTGTGATTTCATGATTTTGTGCATCTAAAAAGTTCAGAAATGCAGGAGGGTTGGCAAGACTATGCTAATGATGTGGCCGTTGGCTCAGGACATCCCTCCTCTCCTGATGAACCAAGCAAGAGGTAAGCAACCAGGCAGAAGTTTAGGGTTTGACTACACTGCAGCTTGTGTTGAGACTTGGCATGGTAAAATGTGATGCCTTTGCCATCAACTACATGACATAAAGCTAATAATAAGTAAGCCTGTTCCCCCCCCCCAGGCAGTTCTTATTTTTTGTTCAAGAGCTAGTATTTTTGGTAGCAATTCGAGTCATACTGCTTTTTTCAGTTTCTGGCAAATGTGATCACCTATATTTGTCCAAAGAGAAAGTGGCATGCATGTCCTAGGGATGATGTTGATGGTGGATTGTTCCTTAAAAAATAAATAAATGGAAAATGACATAATGCTGAATTACAGTAATATGACAATTTGTGAAACTGCAGTGCCTATCTGACATAGCACTAAATTGGAAACACATAATTTTAAAAATTGTTCGAAGGAGAGACAAGAGGTGCTCATTTGAGGGAGATGTTCCTGCTGAACTGGAATGCCCTCCAGTACAGGCAGAACATCTTCCTTAAGTGAATGCTTCTAGTTTTTCCTTTGAACATTTCTTAATTATGCACTTTTGAGTTTAGTGCAGTCAAATAACCATGCCAGTTTCTCAGATTGTTATATCAAATCAACACTATGTCAACTTGCCAGAACCATTTTTTAAAGAAAGTTGTGTTAATGACAGATGAGGTTGGGTAACTTTTTATTCCGGACAGCACTGTAGTGATTTGAGGTGTGATGTGAACTCTCACCTTGACAATTGTCCAGGATAATTAAGCATTCCATGGGAATGCCAGTGGTATAACGATCATAGTAAAGGTAAAGGTTCCCCTTGACAAATTGTCCAGATGTCCGACTCTAGGGGGTGGTGCTCATTCCCATTTCCAAGCCGTAGAGCCAGCGTTTGTCTGTAGACAGTTTCCATGGTCACGTGGCCAGTGCGACTAGACATGGAACACAGTTACCTTCCCACCAAGGTGGTACCTATTTATCTACTTGCATTTTTACACACTTTCAAACTGCTAGGTTGGCAGGAATGGAGACAAGCGACAGGAACTCTTTCCATCGCATGGATTTGAACTGCTGATCTTACAACCTTGCAGCCCAGTGGCTTTGCGGTTCAATTCGCAGCGCCACCATGTCCCATAACCTCCATAGGAAACTTCGAATTGGCACGACTCAACCTGGGATGGCTTACTTGCCTAGTCACATACCCTTGGGTGACTGGACAAGTAGTCTAGGCAATCCTAGACTAACAATCCTGGGTAATCTCTTTCTTTCCTAGATGAGGCACCTTTCTGATGTTTTGGCTGACACTGCTGTCATCCTTGACTATTAACCATGCTGGCTAAGACAGATAGGAGTCGCAGCACCAAACACAGGAGCCGCACCAGCCTGAGGAAACAAAAACTTTATGTAGCAAGACACCATCCTCCACTAATTCCCACAGCCAAACACAGGAACCACACCAGCCTGAGGAAACAAAAAATTTATGTAGCAAGACACCATCCTCCACTCATTCCCAGAACAACCGTTATGACCAAGCAATGACCAAAACATTTACCAAAAAACAACTCCAGATGATTTAAACAAAGATCTTTTTTTTCTACAAACAAACAAACAAACAAACAAAACTCCAGATGATTTGAACAAAGATCTTTTTTTCCTTCTTGGTAAATTTTCAAAGAGGGCAGGATTTTTTTTCCTCAGGGACAGATCTTTCCTGTGGGGCAGATCTGCTTAAGGTTAGCTAAAGTTTATCCATCACCAAGGACAAATCAATCAATTTAATCTTATCTGTATTATGAAGGACATTTGAATCTACAGGTTTGTCTCCAGTCTTAAAGCAAAGAGTTGTACAAAAAAAGGGGGGGGGAACTCACAGCCTTTGTAGATGTCTGTAGGTATCTGTACAGCAGCATAAGAGTAGTTAACTTTGGTTTTAAAGTTCTCATCTTCTATGAAATCCAGCTTCAAGGAATTGGACTTTTCCCTTTCAATTTCTTCTCCTTCTGGATCATCCTGAAGAAGGAAAAGAGAACACGTCGGATCAGTTTTATACAGAAGGAACCAATGAAGTGGTGGGATAATTAGCACGTGGCTACTGCCACCAAGTGAACATTTTGGAAGGGCCTCCTCAGGCTCTCATCTTGAGGGGATCCCTCAAAGGTATCGAGGATATAGAGCAGACAGGACAACTCTGATCAGAAATGCTGTCATGGTTTGACTATCAGTGCCCATTATGGGACACTGATATCAGTACACTGGAGGCTGATTTTATGAGGGCAAAGTGCAGGATTGCTCCACCCCAGGCACAAGCTATGCCCAGCCACCCTACTCTCTCCTAACAGAGGGCCACAGCCCCCTTCTGTGTTCCTCTACTGCTGGACTTCCAGCCTCATAATTTGGTTATGGGCATGAGTGATTGAGGAGAAAATGAAAGAATGGATGTAAAAGAAAAAGGCAGCTGCCCAGCTTAGAAACTAAGCACAGAGGAAAGCAGCTGTAGGTAGGAATAATTCTAATTTGGCAGCAGAGTTATTTTTCTGCTCTTCTGCTGAGATGTGGAGTGAATAAATGGAGTGGGGGGTGAGGAGTGTCTGAAGGAATGGCTGCTTGTCTGGGTGCGGGGAGGGAAGGAAGTGTGTGAATGCTTTCTTGCTTGCTTGCTAGGGTCTGCACGTGTATATGAACATAGATGTGCATAAATACTGACGTCCCTCTCTCACTGTTGCTGATATCCAACGTTCTACCAAGCACTGGGTGTTGTGCCATCAGTCACATTAGGGACTGGTTGCCAGTGCATCACTAGCTAATATGCGCTTGGGAGGTGGCTAAGCTATCAATCACTTCATGCTTGAACCCCTTCATGGCTTAATACAGAACAATTTTTAAAAAACAAACACAGGACTAACCAAAATGCCACATAACCGAGCCAGCTTTCATTTTTTTTCTCTCTCTCTCTAACTCTTTGTCAGACTAGAGGGAGAGCAAAACTTAGAGGGCAAAAAAAGCAAGGATGTTCCAAAAATTGGCCAGACATTGTGGTTAAATTAGGTCCTAATTTAGACTACTTGTGAAGATTAATTTCTCGACAGGCAAGTTTGCTTGAACCACATCACTCCAACAAAACATATTTTCAGCTGTTACTGCCCCCAGGAATCGGTTTAGATGAAACTGAAATTAACAGAAACAGTGACTTCAGAAGTATAGGAGGATCCACAGGAAAATCCCCATGTCAAGTGCCATAAAGTCAACTCTGACTTCCAGGATTTTCTAGGAAGAGAAGTAAGGCTCCCATTTGGATCCCTGCACAGAGCAGGGGGTTGGACTTGATGGCCTTGTAGGCCCCTTCCGACTCTATGATTGTTTACCATTCCCGTCTTCTGAGGGGAATCCTGAGACTGTCCAGCTTGCTCAAGTCCTCACAGCCTGGCTTTTTATGGGAGGCACAGTGAGGGATTGAACTTCTAGGTTGTAGCCAGACTTTACTGATAGCACCGACGCCATGGTTTTTCTTACAATTATCCTGAACACAGTGGTCCTAGGTTGTTACAGCCTATAGGGCAGTGAGGATGAGGGACCAGGGCTTGCCTAGGTTAACCCAGCAGGTATCTGGATGAGTTGGGTTTTGAATTAGGACAATTCAGCTCACAGCTCTTAATCACTTCAATGCACCAGCACTGGCAGTTTTCCTCTGAGCCAAGGATCCCGCCCCATACCCTGGCAGGCATGTCGCTGTTGCTGGGATACGTGGATGCTTATACTTCTGAGCTCTCCTCAAGTAAACTCCATGGCAACAGCAGCAGTAGCAGCAGGAGCTGCAACTAGAAAGGGCTGGGAGTGGAAGAGCTGCTCAATCTCTTTTAAATGCAGATTTTCTGCATCAGGCAGAGGTGGCTTGTAAAACAAACTGGTTGTGAAGATGCACCGATTCTTGGCTCATTTCTTGGCTCTGTTTAACCTTGCCTCTCCCGTTTTCAGCATCGCGGCAGGTATTAAATCAGACAAAAAACCCTTGAAAATCAATTAGCAGCAAAAGGCGACTATCAAAGAACAAATTAAAATGGAGTGGAGCTTAGTGCTCTGTCAATAAGCAATGCAAACAATATTTAATTACGGCAGAGAGAGATGGCAAACTCCCCACTGCTGAGGCTGGAATAATATATCCCTGCGCTTTCACACTCCACTTCTCTCTCCCTTTCCTATACAGATTGCCATAGCTTTGGCAGTCAAACTGAAAGAAGGGCTCAATTTGTTCCGTTCTGAAGAGATGTAATCACTTGGGAGAAGCAAAAACAATCACCAATGCTTGCCTCTCGGGCCTTCCAGACAGAAAGTGCTTGTTTTTCCAGAGCCCGGGTAAGGACTTGCATTGCCATTTTATGAGCCAGGCTTCCCTAGCACATCAGCATATCTAGACAGAAACCTGCAAGGGAAAAGTGGATGAGGGAGAGGAGTTGCCATTGAAAAGTAGTATCTGGCACCGAAATAGTGAAGTATCATATCTTCTGCCACTGTTCTGCTGAGAATATCCCCTCATGAAGATGCTGCTGATGTTTTATCGCACTGCTGGTTTGCTAGATCCAGAGATGGCTTTTTCAAAGCAATTAGCTCTGAGAAATATAACATTCCTGCTAGGGTATATATCCTTCCCCACAGCACACATTGCGTATGGGGACCTTTTCCAGCCCTAATACTTTTGCTTGGTTTTGTGGAAAGTTCACCACGAACCCATGCGGAGCACCTCCATCCCCAGGCCTCTAAATGGGTAGTCATGGCTCCACTTCCTACAGGTCAGCACCGGCTGCATGAGGCAAGAGCCTCTCTGCCCTCATGTAGGACAAGCCCAGATAACCATATTAAATTTATTGGACTGTTCCAGGCCAGCATGTAAGGTGAACCCTCCAAGACAATTTCAGCCCACCAGGCATATGTAGTGGCTCATAATAAGACCAATTAATCTGATTTTATTTCCATCCTGGGATTCAAGGTAACAACTGGGCTGGGGAGACTGCCCACCCTTACTGGTCAATGATATGTGGCTAACCCAATATGGAACCAGTTTCTCAAGCCTTTTCTGTCACATTATTAGCATTATAAATGGGAAAGCCATGGCTGTATTTGAAATACAATAATGCTCAAAGTCCTTTACCTTACTGTGGCTGAAATCCTTTGCTTAGCATAGTGAGTTACACTAGACAAGGCTCATCACATTTTTACAAGTCAATTCCTCCACAAGTTTCACTGATTCAAATGGAAATACGCACACTGCAACTTACTATGCTAAGCAACAGGGGTTCAGCCACTGGTTTATAGAGAAAAGTACCCCTTTTCTCTCTGCTGGCAGTAACAATTACACTAAACATTCAAGGGTCCAAACTAGAGAGTAAGTTTGGGAACATGGAGAAAAGAAGTGGCCTTCCAGTTCTAGAAGTATAGGAAACGTACAAAATAGATTATATTGTGACTCTAGTCACAATGACTGATAACTGATTTTTGTTTTATTCTTCACAGAAATGAACAACAGAGGTTCTCTCTCTCTCTCACACACACACAAACTCACATCCAACTTTCTGGCAACTTTCTGTTAAGTCCATTATTCACTGATATGGTTGTTCTACCAATCCACACTGAAAACTTCTGAAAGTCTGGCCTCTCTATTTGTGCCTTTTTTTTCAAATTTGTGATTTTCTAACCTCCTCCTCCAAGTGGACAGAACTAGTTTCACTGAGATATAAACTTAAATAGCAGTTCCCTCTCCTGTGATAGTAGGCATTGTTTCCAAAGAGATCAAGATAGACGTCAAACGAAAAAGTTATCTGTTTCTACATTAAATCCAAAGTTTAATGTTGGTGTTAAATGTTTGCTTTGTTAGTTATACTGTGGCTTTTTTCTCATAACAAAGACTGACAATTTTCAACATTCACGTTTATTTGTTTGTTTTTCAAAAAGCAAGGAAATTCCTAGTGAAAACCTGAGTTGTGAGGAAATCGAGGTCACAGATTCACAAGAGCATACAGACACCCACTTTCTGAATTTTAACTTCCATCCCATGCAAATGCAAGAAGTGAATGCTTATATTTGATCCCCCCCAAAAAAACAAAAAAGAAAACGATAACCCAGCTTAATTAGGACTAAGCCCATGAAACACAAGAAGAATTCCTCCCCCCAAATACAGAGTGCATACACTGAAGGGTAAGTAAAATTTATATGACTATGGAAAGGACTGTGCCGCAAACTTGCTGTTTGTAAACGTTGACCCCATCAAAACTTGTGTTTCATTTCAGCTCTTCAGCATCCCTAGAGATGTGTTATAGAGAGAGTGGAGTGGCAAGTGGAATTATGCTGCAGTGTTTACCAGTGGTGGAAGTTAAGTTACAGAAAATGGTGCATTACTGAGTAAGTGCAGTAGATCCATAGTCTGGATTTCTCACTCTTGGAGGTATATATATATATTTGCCTTAATCTTAAATTATTTTCCCTTGCGATAGATATTAATTGTACCTTCAATACATATAAATTATGTTCTACCCTGGCCCTGAGAATAAACTTCTACATCTGATCCAACTATGAGGATCAGGATCCAGACAATTGTGTTTCTTAGCTTAATTTATAATTTAATGCCTCATTACCAGAGAAATCCCAGTATAAAGATTCATATACTTTGAAATTATCTTGAATAATTTTCCTTTCTCAGAAACCATTAGCACTTTCTAATAAAACCTTTTCCCCCCTGTTATTAACTAATTGTATAAAACAATGTTCCAGTAAGAAAATTAACTATTTTCTCCTCCCATTTGTTTTGTCATCTGCTAACCTCTCCTTCTTCACTTCCTTCCTGGTTGTGGGCCATTGATAAAGGATTCTTAATATCCAAGCAGACAGCTACGTCTATAGGAACATGTTTATCTGGATGCTTGTTGTCACCCTCAAACAATCTCAAGAGAAATGTCTTTCATTTAGAAAAACTATGTCTCTGCTCTAGCATATGGCATTCAACAAAGAGCCCATTTGTTTGA